GCAGAGCTCAAGCCATTTACATTTAGGGTAATTAATTATAAATGAGGATTTCCTATCATTCTATCTTTGGTTTTCTGGTGGCTCGGTGGCTTCATTGTTTCTTTGCCTTTGTGTTGCTGTCTGTTGTTTCAGTGTGGTGGTATTCTATGATTTCCCCCCCTGCTTCTTCCTTTTTTATGTTATATATTTCAGTTCTGGATTTTTTTGACTGGTTACCATTAAGTTTATGTAAAAGAAAGTTTCATATTTACAGTAGTCCTTTTGGTTGAGCACGTTTCTTATCTCAGGTTCAGACCTTTACTCTCTCCCCATTTACGTTTTTGTTTTCACAAGTTATCCCTACTTATTTACTGAGTACATTTTATTTCATGTAAATTAAAGTTGATGCAATAATAACATATCATAATGAAAGTGAAAAGACAATCCACCAACTAGCAGAAGATACAATATACATAACCAAAGGAAGAGTAAATATATAGATAACTCCTATGAGCCTACTTGAAAAAGTAGAGAAATGTAGAACAATAAACAAAAGGTTTGCACAGAGAAAACCAATAAAACTCACCAAGCTATGAAAAAAAAGTTTGAACATGTAAATTATAAAAAATGAATTACCTTTAAAAAAAGTAAGGAATCATGAATGTATTAGTAGTTAGGGAAATGAAAATTAAAACTGAAATAAAGTATCAATACATATATATTATGTAGGCATTAAAAAGTTGAACTATACACTCATTGATGAGAAAATGGAACAATGGGAACTCTCATATATTGTGAAATGTATATGGTCCCACTAGAAAAGTAATACCTTTGGTATTATGAATTATTTGGTAATAACTTGTAAGCCTGTGTCCCTAGGTATACACCCTAGAAAAACCTTTATATTAGCTCAAATGTACATAAACAATAGAATAAACTGAGGTTCATTCATCTAATTGAATACTATACAATGAAAATAAATCAAAACCACATGGAACAAGGTGGACAAATATCATAAACAATATTGAGTGAAAGATACATAGCTCAAAAGTACATCTAGTTTAATCCATTTAGGTAAACATTAAAAGGAAACCTAAACTATATATTGTTAACGGATGCATTCTTTGGTGGTGAAATGGTGCAGAAAAGCTACAAAATACTTTTCACCAAAGGATACATATCTCTAATGTAAGTGGCACATAGGCAGATCCTAAGATATTGGCAATATTTTGTTCCTGACCTAATGTTTAATATGAGTGCCAGCTCTATTATTTTTCCTTTAATTTGTGTAGATCTTATATGTCCTTCATGTATTACATAATTCACTGTACAAATCCCAATAAAATGTCAGATCATGTTTTTCCTTTGACAAAACCCTCCAATGCTTTCTGTATCTCGCTAGGAATACAAATTAGGTTGGCTAGCGATTACCTTCCGTATTGAAGATTTACTTTCAGTTTTTCATTTTTCTTTTTCTTCAAGTCTGGAAGTGTTCTATAATAGGTCTGACTTTTAGTAGTTTCAATCTGCCATTTATTTCTGCTAAGGTAGATTCCAATTGTGTTTTATTTTCCTTGTGACTTAACTTGATCTCTGCATTTCCTTGACTTCTCTTTTTGTGACCTTTCAACTGGTCCTTGTTACCTATTCATTTTATCCTATTTTCTTCTCACGATTATTTGCTCCTTACCCTACATCTTCATATATTCTGTTGTGAATGCGAATCTGCGTTGTGACATTTTTCTTCTGGATCCTATATAGTCCTCTACTGATAGTGTTAAAAGCAACAGAGTAACACATGTACTTATCTTTCCTTGAACACTTCTTACCTTTCAGGCACTAAATTGTATATATTAAGCACATTACATGCACTGTTTCATTAATTTAACAAATATCATTATATTTTATTATATTTACTCTATTGATGAATAATATGAACTCTAGGAAGGTTAAATAAAAACTTCCAGAGTTGGAAGAGGGTTGGCACATATGTTTATCTGACTTTGGAATCTCTGCTCCTAAAGTCTGCCCTTTCTGTCACTCTGTTTTGAATTATGTTTCAAATTGGAACTTTTGAATATACAGCAATAGATCTGCTTGTTATTAAGAGAGCTTCAGTTCTAAAAAAGCTAAATACATATTAATAAGATCCCTATGTGTCCCCTTTCTTTCTACTTAAATATGGAATTTTCAGCCTCCGTCTAGAGGCTGAATGCAATTGGATTTTGGTCTTGGGGAGGGGACGGTGTGAAGTAAGTATTATTCTGCCTTCCTTTAAGTCAGTGAAACTTGAAAAATATGGATGCCATATTCTTCTAGTTATGTAGTTGGTACAGTCTGTGAGTCATGGGCTAGATGGGTAATGGTTTGGAGGTTTTTAGCTCTTTTTAAATCAGGTAGATGTTTCATGAAGCCAAACCACTTTTTGAGCATGAGTGGGTTTTCTCAGTTCCTCTAGATTACAGTTAGTTCACCCATTACTAGATTTTAAGTTTGTCATCAGTGACAGGGATTGCTAACTTTCTCTAAAAATCCTACTTGGCATTTTAATAACAAAATTTGAAAACAATATATTAGAAGCTGCTAGGAAGAAGCAACTTTGCATCAGAAGTTGATTGAAATCTGGTTTTGCCCTGCTTTGCTCTATATAAACACGACTCTATGTGTGTTATTTATGTGAATATACTGTCTCTCCAGCAAGAATATCAGTAACTTCAGAGCATGGTTCTGACTTCCACTTCTCTTGATTCTAATGAGTAAGTAGTTCAGTAATTTGTATTAAGTTGGCATTAAGTAATACCTTAGGGGAAAATACTTTCAGGGTGCCCAATCTGAAATAAGTCAAGCCTAACATATGTTAAATAACCATTGCTGAGGAAAGAAAATATTGGAAATGTAAATTACCCACATTTACATTCAATAATATTTATGTCATATTTATTCAGACTCTGTGTTAATTATTTTTTCAAATCATGTAATAATCCAAATTTGGTGAATATAAAAACACATTATTTTTCAAAGAGATACTGTTTTTGACATGGATGAAATGCTACTTAATGCATTTGTCAAATAAATAGGAAATGCAGAATTGTGAATTGATAATATTACAACATGTCCTCACTTCTCACATATTTACTATTGATGCCTCATAGTAAGAATCTCATTTACAAAACTCATTGTTTTTGATGGAGTTCATCTGGAAAATCGCAGACACTGTGGCCTATTCATAAAATAATTCAGACATGGGAATGATAACTATTTTCCAGTGATAACATAAAGACCCTATTTCTTTGCTGTTTTGGTAACTTTTAAGTCATATTGGAAAAATCTACGATAGTCAATGGTTTCTTTCAGAGTGGAAATATTGGAGGCTTCATTATGAGTAATATCAAACTCTGTATTTAAAAAATAAGAACAATTCCAGAAGCTCAACAAATTGTGTGTGTGTGTGTGTGTGTGTGTAAAAGGTATCTATGATATATGAACAGTACTGAGACACTTAGATAATTAAAATTCATCTCTAAGTAGTTTACTATAACCTCAAAAGTATATCTACATATAGTCAAGATGTATAAATGATCTAAGAATGAAGTCTTAATCTGCCCTGGGTACCTGGTAAATTTCAAATTGTACACTAGAAAAAATGACTATTGCAAAGGTGAAGAATCAAACTGAAAGAAGTAGTAATTCTAACACTTTTATGAGACTTAAAACAATCTAATTGTGAATTATTTTCCCATTCTACATTTTAAATGTCCAGATTCAGGCTAGGCTCAAGAAAGGAAAATGGAATTTTGAGTGAGAGGCTTACACTTTGGGAAGGAATATCAGTCATGTATTTGTCATCACCATGTCTTTAAATATTTATGTGTAATTCATACATGAATTTGTTATCACATCAAGCAATATAACTTATTATTTTTAGGATCTTTTATTGTTTATTAATATTAGAAATAGTGACTTAAGATCTGTACCCTTATATAAGAAGTCAAATTATTTACTGGAAAAAGTAGTCCTCACTTGTTTGAAAACATTCTCTTACTTATACAATTTCATATAATCATATGATGTTTTATTTGTGGAAGACTAACCCTTCTCTGGAAGAACAAGCTACAAGAAATGATCTGCCTAGTGGTGACCACAATTTGGATGCCCAGTTGGTAACCAAATCTCAGTAGTCTTGGACTAATCCATCATTTTCCTCTGCCAAGTTAACTTCTCCCCTCTTCAGTATTTTAGTGAATTGATGTCTCCTTGCAGTTAGTCAACAGCCAGGAATCTGGAGGTATACAAAACACCTTTGTTCCTTTGTTACTCGTAGACTTTCACCAAATCCTGTAAATTGCACATTTTTACCTATTATGAATCTGTCCCCTCCTATCCATTGCTATAGTAAAGCTTTTGTCAGTGTCCTCATCATCTCTTTGGGCTAATGAAATGCCCCTCTCTTCACTCACCTGTCATTCTGCTGCCCTGCAGAATGGCTCTGTGTCATCAGCTGGTAAATTAGAAAATCATTAAATTGTCAATAAGATGTCCTTAAGATCCTATATAACTTGTCTCCCATTCGCCCCTTTCATCTGGTCTCTTACTAGCCTCTCACCTTGAACACTAATTGTAGCCCTTCCAAATATCATACAATTTCCTATCCACACCAGGCTGTTTCCTGACTTCCTTTGTTCATGTTGTTCTTTGCTGAAAGTTATCCGCACCCCCTACCTTCCTTCACCATGCCTTTTCTGACTGGCATACTCATTTTTCAACATTCAGTTCAAATAAGTAAAATTGATAACCCCCTTTTATGTGTTCTGTATACACATGTCTTTAACAGGACCTATGACACTTTATTACACACGTCTATTGACTTGTCTGTTTGGCCATGGTACAATGAAAGTCACTCAGGTGTAGATCCTCTGCTTTATTCATCTTCATTTCTTAGGAAACTTGCAATATTTTAGAAAAAGAATACGTATTTAATAAATGCTTATTGAATTGATAGATGAAGTAACAAAAGTTAATACCTGTATTTTCAAAAGGTATTTCAGGTGGGAGTCATATTTTTTTATTACTGTTGAGAGGCACTGTCTGGAAAGAAAAAAATAACAGTCTGTTTAAAATTGGGTGGGAAAACATATTAACCTTAGCACATTTATCACAAGTTCTGCTTTGTCCATGATTCTGTAGCGAACAGTTTTGAAAGGATTACTGTTGACATAATTTTAAAAACTATTTCAGATGGATGCTATATATAAACTTTGTATAACTTGATAGGCTACAAACATATTTGAAAACTTTAGTACTCCCAAGAAATCCATGACAAATTAACCAAACCTCTCAAAAACTGTTCATTATATCAAACTACTCTTAATTCAAAATGTAAATTGCAAAGGGTTTCATAAACAGATAACGACAAATACTAGCATCAACAAATGTTAACTATAAAAAAATGTTAAAAATGCAAAATCTTGTAGAGAATTTCTTTCAGAATTAACGTCATATATAGATGGGGTTGTCTTTGACACCAAACTCCTGTTTTATCTTTCCTAAGCTTCTCTTGTTGTTCTAGCTTTATCTATGCTTAGGTGCAATAGATGTGAGTTGAGCAGAAATTCTCCTGGCTTCACTGTTCAAAATGATTTTCTCAAACATTATTGACTTTGCCTTCCTGTTTATCCTGAAAACTCCTGAATTGAATAGAATAATGATTCAAAGAACACAAAAACATAGTGTTAAAAACACACCAACATATTTAACAGTAGCTGTGGTCTCAGCCTTTATTAAATCATCTCTTTAGCTGGATTCCATCCAACAGTTCAAAGACAAAAATGCATAAAATACGTAAACGTCAATGAAGATTTAGGAAAAAAATATTAAAAGATTTTAGCTATTATAGAAAGGGTTTTCATACAAAACCTGATCCTAAAACTTAAAAGATCCCCAAGATCTGCTTCAGTACCTTGCTATTAAGCATTATATCTATTTTATAGAAAAACTCCTAGGAACTAATTAACATATGTGATTTGCTGAACTTCTTTTTTAAATTAAATTTATTGGGGTGACAATGGTTAGTAAAATTACATAGGTTGCAAGTGTACAATTGTGTGATATATCATCTATATGTCACATTGTGTGCTCACCACCCGGAGTCAATTGTCCTTCCGTCACCAGTATTTGACCCCTTTACCCCCTTCTAAAATGTAGCCTAGTCAGGGAAGAGGGAGACTGAAGTCAAAGCTCCTTCTGTCTAGTGCTCGTTCTTTTATTGACATCATAAAGGGTCTGAGGAGGGCAGGCAGACCAGCACTGTATTTCAGAAAGCAAAGTCCTCGAAGTCACCAAGATGGCAAAGTAAATGATCCCAGCCTCCATCTCCCTACAACGATCAACAATTAGACAGCTATCCACAAAGAGAAACAGCCCTGGGAGGGCTCAGGAATCCATCTAAGAAACTTCAGCAACACAGTGGAAAAAAACCCAGGAATAACTGCACTAAAAGGGGAGAACAGCTTAAGTGTTGGGATAACTGGATGTTCTCATACAAAAGAATCAAACTGGAACACTATCCTGAACCATTTGCAAAAATTAACTCAACATGGATTAAGGACATAGATAAAACCAGAATCTGTAAAAATCCTAGAGGAAAACATAAGAAAAAAGCCTCTTGACGTTGGTTTTTGCAATGATTTTTTGGATATTACACCCACACCACAAGAAACAAAAGCAAAAATCAAATAGTGGGACTACATCAAACTAAAAATCTTCTGAACAGCAAAGGAAACAATGAACAAAGTAAAAGAGTAACCTGAAGTTCCAGAGAAAATATTTGCAAACCATATATCTGATAAGGGCTTAATATCCAAAATATATAAGAAACCCATACAACTCAAGAGCAAAATAATAATTCAATTAAAAATGGGCATAGGACTTGAATAGACACTTCTCCTAAGAATACATACAAATGGCAAACAAGTGCATGAAGAACATCACTAACATCAGGGAAATGCAAATCAAAACCATAATGAGCTATCACCTCACACCTGTTAGAATGGCTCTTATCAAAAAGATGAGATAACAATGCATCCATCAATGAATTAGTGGACAAAAAAATGGTGGTACACACACACACACACACACAAATGGAATGTTATTCAGCTAAAACTGAAATAAATCCTCTTATTTTTTACTACATTGATGAGACTTGAGGGCATTATGCTAAGAGAAATTAGTCAGACAGAGAAAAATACCATATGATCTCAATTAGATGTGGATTCTAAAAAAAGAATGCATAGAAACAGAAAACAGATTGGTTGTTGTCAGGGGCTGAATCGGGGGGAAATGGGGAGATCGTCAAAGGGCAGAAACTTTCAGTTATACCGTAAATAAGCTCTGGAGATCTATGGTACAGCATTGGGACTATAGTTCACAATACTGTATGCTATACATAAAAGTTGTGTGAGAATAGAGCTTTAATATTAAACAACAAAATGGTAATTCTGTGAGTGAAGGATTTCTTAACCTTATTGTGGTTAACATTTTGCAATGTATGATTTTGTGTGTATCAGATAATCACATTGTATACATTAAATTTATACAATGTTAAATGTCAATTATGTCTCATTAACATTTTTAAAAAAATAAAACAAAACAAAAGTCAGCCTTTATGAAGCTGAAAAGGTACCTGTGCTAGATAACATTTGAGAAAGTTAAGGTTGGGCACAGAATACAATTGAAGTGCAATAAGCACTGTTTGAGAGTTAAACACTAGTTTTAGTCATGGCTAAACTATTAACTATCTGTGTGATGGTTGAAGAATGTTTGGATTTCTCTGTGTTTTAGTTTCCTTTATAGAAGAGAAGTAGTATTGGGAGTTGGGGTCCATCTAGACCAGCGGTTCTCAACCTTTCACAGGGGTCACCTAAGACCATTGGAAAACACATATTTTCGATGGTCTTAGGAACCGAGACACCGCTCCTCTATCCGTCTCCAGATCCACATGCAGATACGCCCACATACGAGTACCCGGCGACCCCTGTGAAAGGGTCTTTCGACCCCCAAAGGGGTCACGACCCACAGGATGAGAACTGCTGATCTAGACTGTACTCCACTGTCCCGGGGTTGTAGGGAAGGGGTGGAGGAGTTAGGTTCTGAAGCTAGTTTGTCCCTGACAAGTTTCCTCTACTCATTGCAGCAGAGCTTTTGCTTTGTCCAGATTAACCCTGTAGACACCTGCCCAGTGGTGAAGGCCACCAGACTTCTGTGAGGGTACAGGCAATGGCAGGGTGAGGCAGGAACAAAATGAAAACTGCTTGCCCTACCCATCTTCTCACAGTCTCCACCTTTCTCTCTGTGCCCCAGGTAGGGGGCAGTTACAAATCACAACCCTCCACCAAACCAGTTCAAAACAATTTTTTGTCTCTCAGAGATTTACCACTTTTTAAAGATTTTGTTGGATTTGATGTCTCTTTCTTTTTACAATGTGTGTGTGTATGTATGTGTATATGTATGTATATATACATACAGTAATAGCTCGGTTTGTGAGCACAATTTGTTCTGGAAACAAACTACTCATATTGCAAGACATCGCTCGTTTACCAAGTTAAAAATGTATTATTAGAGTGGTGCAAAAATAATTGTGGTTTTTGCCATTATGAGTAATGGTACAAACCGCTATTACTTTTGCACCAACCTAATACAAATATTTGCTCATCTTGCAGAAAACTTGCAAACCAAGTTACTCACAATCCAAGGTTTTACGGTGTGTGTGTGTGTGTGTGTGTGTGTGTGTGTGTGTGTGTGTGTTACTTATTTTGGAACAAGGAAACTACAGCGTTTGTCAGTATATCATTTTGGAGGGAAACTATACCGATCCAGCAATTGGTTATAAAATGAAAATTTAGATTAGGCTATATCAAAAGTCCTCTCTAGTCCTACCCATTCTATGATTATACGGTGTGAGGCTGACTATTTTTGGGGGAAAAAGAGTGACACACATGGAAAAACACAATAGTTTAATAAAAGAATGTGGCCTTTGCAAAATTAGACCTGATCTCAGTCCTGCCACTAATGAACTAAGTGGTATTAGGCAAATTAAGTAATTTCAAGTTCCAGAGCTTCAGTTTCCTTGATTCTGAGGTAAGATAATATGTATTATCACAGGGCTGTAGGGAGAACTAGATGAAATAATGTATGCAAAATGTATAACAATGCCACAAAGTGATGGTTAGTAATAGTCACTAAAAACAATTTTCCCTCATCTTATATTTTTATATCAGGCTTTTCTTTAGAAATTTATGTCATATACCTCCCACATCCCATTATTTGTTCATTCAGTTCAGAACAACTTTAATTCCACATAAACTCATACTGAACCACTGGTAACTTCTCCAAAGTTAGCTTCTCAGTTAAGTCTATTCTTTTAAATAATACATGCGTGCATTTTGATATCAGAATCAATTAGGATTTGTTCATTTGCTGTCGCTTGAGTTTTCCAATTTGAGTTCACATTCCTCTGTTTATACCAGTCATTTTTAGGGAGTTCCAGGGAGGAATTTAAAGCAAGGGATGGTGACTTTCAAAGTATGAAAATTCAGTTATACAAAGAGTTTAGTGACACATGCACACTCAAAATCACATAGTGAATGAGAAAAAAAATCATTGAAAATGTAATAACTGATAGCAGAGATATTTTAAAATGAATGTTAGATTGTTCTGGAAGGTGTTAGCAGTTCTTCAATTGTATCTGAATAGCTGTGAGGAATAGATAATTATTAGCAGAATTTGCCAAAGGGAGATATCTATTAAAAGTACAATAACTTCCATGATACTAGTGAAAGGACAGTTTTTACAATCAACTGAAAAATTCTGGCACTTGAAAACTCAGTCAGAAAGTAGTCTTGGAACAGAAATAAAATGCCTTACCTGGATATTTTCCAGATATGCATAAATTCCAAAAGTTGGTTCAGATAAAACTGACTGTGGTCATCTTCATGCTGTAGACAGCAGAATAAATTAATATTTATAGAGTGAATAAGAATGAGTACTAGATAAAAATAGGTCTGTAACTTCCTGCTGTCATTTTGTTCACCTCTTTGATAACCTTCATTCATCATTTTAGTATTTTGTTTTAAAGACCTTACAAAACTTTCCTTAACTGTATAAGCTTTCTTTTCAAAAGTGAAAAAGAAAGCTGAGCTTTAGTTGAGGATAAACCTCACAGACAGTTGGAAAAACTCCTGACATCACCAAGGTCAAACATGAATTTCTCCTAGCAGGAAGGCAGTTTTGCAGACACCAGGTCTCCCACATATGTGCATATTTTCTTTACATTTAGGTCACAGATGCCATGGCAGCATAGGACTTGACAGCTTGCCAGATGGGCCGCAGACAGAATGAGCCCCTCCATTTTTCAGGTTTACCACATCTTGCTGCCAAAATGTCAGTTAAGAGAACTTTCCATTTCATGAACGTTAAATTATTCTAGTGAGTTACAACTACTGATGCTGATAGGTCTAAATCCCACGAGTTATCAGGTGGCATTGTGTTCATTCTCCCAGAAACTTCTCATTGTAAAATGTCAGTCCTGTGGTACGTATGTAAGTATGTACACATGCATATGTACACACACAAACACACACTCACCCACTCATACCATAACTCCTTGGTTAGCTCTTCTGCAAGGGCGTTCATAGAAACCCTATGCAAGTCTGCAGGAGAATGCAACATACTCCACCATAATTGCACGATTTCACCACACGGTGGCATTAAGTTTGGGAGCTGAGGGAGTCCCTTAATTCTTGAGGTGCAAGTAATCTTATATGTCAGCATACAAACAATCTATTTTAAAAACTGCCTATTAGAGTTTCTGACAGGAAACTAATATTAGAGGGAAAAATCTTTATGTGGATTAAGGTCAAAGGTAAATTAATTTTTATATTGGGTTGTTTGGTGAGGAAGAAGGAAACTAAATTAGATAGAAAGAATAAGGTCATCACTATAATGCAATATGTTGAGTACACGCTATTAAAAAAAACCAAAAACACTTTGTGGAAATGCTATGAAACTTGAAAACTTACCCTCTAGGAATTTACATCTAGAGTCACTGGGATGACTAAATCTGAAAGGGTGATAGTGGTAAGACTTTTTTTTTTTTTTCTACAGGAGAGAAAACTAAACTTCAGGCATAGAAAGCAGGGAAAAAGGGGAGGGAAATTTAAAAAAAATTAAGACTAGAGCTAAAAGAGATAATAAGATTTGAACTGTAATATTTGGCACTTTTCTACTTTCAGAAGTTAAACCAAAGCAAGCATATAAGTAATATGACTTATTTGCATCTTTCAGTATAGCATAATCATATTCATTTTAAAACCATTTACTTGGCTTCCAGAATGATTTTGTTGGGGGGGAAATTGGCCATTGTCATATTGTCCCTTACAAAAAAAGATTTATTTAAGGAATCTCAGAAGGCTGGAGGAATGTTTCAGCAGTTGTCCATGAAATATATCATGCACTTTACTTTTCACAAACCTGAAGGCCATGCCTTTACCATAAGAAAAAAGTTAAAGCACTTTTTTTCATACAAAAATATATTGTTGTAAAGGTTCTATGAATATTTTCTTGAGCTAGAAAGAAATCTTGATTTTATGATTAATATCTATAATGTTGGCAATACTTTTTAAATCAAATTTAAGACAAAGAGAAAACAACATTTTTTTAGAAAGTCACGTCATATCATTAAGATGGGGATTTCAAAATTTTGAAATCTAGAATGATTTTTAAAGACTATCAACCTGTTTTGTGAATAATCTCATGGAACAAGAATTAAATTACCATATTTCATTATAATGCAAGCATGTTTATAAAAGGACAGGCATCTGAGATGACGAGCTTTGCAATGCCCTCTACAATTAGAGAACTCTAAAGTATCTACTGAAAGACAACGGTATCAATCACATTCAATAGAATGATAATAATGGTTATATTCCTACTATTATATACGAAGAATATTATCAGTTCAAGTTTATGTTGTTTTACTAGAAAGAAAATATAATTGTTCATAAATATTTTTCTTTCAGCTAAAATTGTGGAAATCACAGAGAATTTTGACACCACTTTAAAAATAGAATCATGAGAAGAGAACATTCACTATCTCCCTATCAAAGAGTTATTAATAGTAAATGACTACAATATCATATAGCCTCACACCCCAATTTCATAAGATCAATAACTAATATTTACATAGTCTTGACTAGGTGCAGGAACTGACTTAAGCTCCTCATTTATGTTTCCTAATTGAGTTCTTAGAATAACCATATTAGGTAAGTACAATTATTGTTCACATTTTTTAGATAAGAAAACTAAGGTGCAGAGAATTTAATAATTTGTCCAAGAGCAGACATTTGAATTTGGCAGTATGAATTCAGAACCTCAGCTTTTAAACAAGATGCCAAATCAATAAATTTAATATTCCTATTCCTGTGGTCAGAGCTAGGCCTATGCTCTAGGATTTATACATAAAAATAATCACCACTCCTAGCCTTTCATACTCATTTGCATCAAGTGCTCCTACTCCAAAACTCTACCATGTTTCCCCAAAAATCAGACTGGGTCTTATATTAATTTTCCCTCCAACAATCTACATTTATTCATTTATTCATATACAAAAATCTACATTTATTCAAACAGTAATGTCTGGCTGGCGATCTTAACTGGGGCTTATATTTGGGGTAGGGTTTATATTACAAGCATCCTGAAAATCATGCTAGGGCTTATTTTCTGGTTAGGTCTTATTTTGGGGGTAACACACTAAAAGCATAGCTGTCTTTTCTTTTGAAGCATGTCTTTCTATCAGACTTTTGAGAAATATTTGTTTATTGTCTGTCTCCTTTATTAGGATGTGAACTCTACATTCTATAACAAGTATTGAGATGTCTTGTTTGCCTCCATATGTCTAGTGTTCAGAATAGTTTCTGTCACGTGATAGGTGCTCAGTTATTATTTGTTCAATGGCAGACAACTAACAGTTTGTACATAAATGTTTTCCAAGACAATTTTGAACTATAAGTAGGTTCACTAAGCAGTTTCTTCATTATATAAGACCCTTAAAGGCAAGTACTGTATATATGGTATGCAAAAACATTTAATAAATATTTGATGTATTAATCAATTATTCAATTTTATACATGTAGTGTACTTAGCACAGTAAACCCTCATAGATCTTACTAAAATGTAATGTCTTATCTTTTGGAATATGATGCTAGAAATACCCTGGAAGAGCCAGGATTTGAGGAGATAGAGATACAGAATGCCTTTTTCATAGTCTATCTGGAGACCACCACTATTTTTAGTTGAGAGTAAAAGCCAGCTGAATCCCCTGGACACTAAGCTGTTTGTTGGCTGAGATCTTGTTGATTTTGTTCACTACTCTACTCGTTAGTATAGGGCCTAGACACAGCAGTTACATAGTAGATATGAGTGAACAGAGAATATACAAATACCTATGCCATCACGCATATTATCAATTTTTAAATAACAGTGTCAGAGCTAGGAAAAGTTGTGGATGAGAAATGGCATTTATACTCTTTACCTATAAGTTGCTGAATTAGCCTAGACTTGGTGATATTCACTGTAAGAAATATTTATGAATTGAACCATGAAACAAACAAAAAAAGAACCATGTGACTTAATTCCCACTATGATCTGAATGACACATTGAAACCAGACATTTCTAGTGACAAGTATATACTTCACACCCCAAGATGACTATATGCTTGTCCCTGTATATAATAATGTGGATGACAACAACCCAAAGATGCCATCTTGGATGGCATATGTATAGTGAGCTCTGTGACCAGACTAGGTATGCTAAAATCCCATCTCCCTTACTTATTCTCTGTAAGACATTGGCCCATTCAAGTAATCTTTTAAATTTTCAGCACTTAATATAAAAAGAAAAGAATAGTAATTATCCTTTTATTTCTCTTGGGCCATTGCATATTAGCACATGAAGGGCCTGAGAACACTGCTTGGCACTTAATATGATTAATTATCTTTGAATATCTGTCATGCCCCAGACATTGGGGTATGTGGATATAGCTGTGAAAAAACAAAACAAAACAAAGAAACCATATATATCTATTTATATATATATATTATATATATATATATATATATATATATATATATATAATTTTGACCAATTGCTCTGAAACTCACATCTAAAATTTTGAGTAAGTCGGTAACATAGTTATGGGCTGTGGAGACTCACTGAATGGGCTCAGCTCTGTGCTCGTCTGCTCACCAGTTTCATGAACAGGATCTGGCGGAAGTCATGGAGTGCCCTCTGATTTTCTTTCTTTATATCTCATAGTATTTACCACATAGAATTATTGTGAAGAGGAAGTGTGATAAAAAGATTCAAGTCCCAGACATAAAATATATGCTCCATACATATCATCACAGTAGTGGAGCTATATGGATTTAAGAATAAACCTTAATTTACCTGAAACTAAACTGTTAAGAGATCTGTGAATTACTTCCAATGAGATAAGTTTGTTTTCTTTTAAGCAACACATGCCTTCTAAGCAAGATCAGAAATTAGGATCATACGTTTTCTCTCTTCCTCCAGGTTGAAATGAAACATGATGATTTCAGCTTTTTTTGTTAACATTGAGGACACTCTGGAGACTTTTAGATTTATTAATATTGAGGGCATTAGTTGTACTTTATAATGTTTCTTTGTGGAGATTTCAGATGCATAGCCCTGGAGCTGTCAACACTGGCTGAGTGGAGTAACCAACTCCAAAAGATATTTCTAAACAACTATCTTTTGGCCTCATTATGTTATATTTCACATAGATATATTGCAACCTAATGTACTACCTGACACTTTTTATGATGAAACACCTCAGACTAGACAAATAAAAGAGTCATGCACTGGAAATCTGTATCTGATATAAATGACAAGGTGATGGGATTTTTGCTTAAAGCAGGTAATTGGAAGATTCTACAGATAAAAACTGCCAGAATATCAAAGTTCACTGCATACTGTGCAATTTGGGTTTGAAGTAACTCAAGACATCACACAGGGAGTAAAATTCTTATCTAACAGCATGAAACTGTGTCATTAAAGCACAGACATTCATTTCTAGGTAGTTTTATTATATATATTATGAATATTAATCTGTTCTGATTGAAACTGCTGACACAGACATAAACACTCTTTAAATAGAACCAGAGTTGTGTTACTTTTCTTCCTTCAATGGTTTTCCCTTCACACTTTCTATTCCACTTACTTCCTAGTGGATTCCTGAAGAGTATGAATATGAAAACCTTAATAAGTTTCTCATAAATGATTTTTCCAAGAGACCTATTAATTTGTTATTATACCGAGGTTTCAGTCATGTGTTGATATAATTGCTTCAGTCCAAATTGTCAATAGGCATTTAGATAAATATTTCATTATGTTTCAATAAATATACTCAAATGAACATGTGTTCATTAAGCTATGTAATTCCAAATTGGGAACAATCCATAAAGATGGGAATGTTATCCTTAAAATGATCAGTTTGCAAATTGAAACCAATACTAAAAAGGTCTTACCTTTCGAGATAACTTTCCTGGACCTTCCTTATTTTTCTGCAGATTAAGCTGAATAACAGATTTATCTTTCTGAAATATTCTGTGGCTCCCCAAACAGTAATCACTGAAGGAAAAAAAAAATGAACATGATTATTTCCTCCCGTAGCACCCCTAAGTGTATATTTTCCTCTCTGACTTTATTTCCTTTATTTTTGGAACTTAGTTTGGTAAAAGTTTATATATATCCTCATATTAATTTTAAATGACAAGATATTACAATTATTTTCTAATGCCTTAAGTTAGAAAATGATTAGATACCTTTAGAGTGGACATAATAAATTATAATAAAGACTATTTTACATATTCAAAGTTACTTTTACCCAGCCATCTGGAAGCTAAGGACAGCATACTTCCGGGAGGTCTAACTGATGCCACAAAGTATATGTGAGGACCACTGTGTCACAGAAGCAGAGCAGTGGGGTGGAAATGTCATGGGCTTTAAAGACAGATTTACTAGCTCTATAACCTTATGCAGTTCAATTAAACTATCTGAAGCTCAGTATTTTCCTTTTTAGACTTGCGATATTAATTAATGTCTGTCAAAAGATTCACAAGCAGATTAAACAGGAAAAAATATCTCTTCATATTTCTATTGGTGTGATATGTGTTCTTCCCCTTCTTTCCTTTCTCTCTCCCTCTTTCCCCCTTCCTCTCCCTCTATTTCTCCCCCTCCCTTCCCCTCTCCCCCCCAACTCTATCTCTGTAACTATTTCCTGATCACAGATGAAATGATGAGCACAATGAATTAAATGAATTACTGATTTACAGTGTAAATCTGGCCCCTATTCTTTTTAAGTGAAGGGCTTTTACTAAGTCATCTCCTCTACAACTCTAAATTTTGATATCTCTAATGATTGAGTCATTTTTTAAAAAGGATGAATTATATTAATGTACTTTGTTTAAGGATCTTGGTTAAATATACAAAGGATTTCAGGAGAAAGAAACTTATATTAATAATTTCGGGCCCTTAAAGTGATATATTCATTTACCTGGAAAATTCACTAAATGTTATGGACCACCTCTTCCCAACAATGTCAGACAAATAAAACATTACTATGTTGGCATGCTACTAAATTCTCTGTAAATGTTTTTATTTTGACAATTGCTATTTCTTTTAAGAAAGCTCAACACCTATCCACTTGTCCAAGTGGTAAAAGTATTTATGACATGTTCCATGTCCCGTTTCCAGTCCTCCTATTAGTCAACACTAGGTTTCTGTCCTGGTGCTATCCATAGGGCTCTTACATTGTTCCCTGAGTTATTTTTACTGCTAGTCTAGACATGAAATGGCATGTGTATTCCAGAGTTCATGGAATCATTGACTCCTGCCTGCCACCTCGCTGACTTCTACTCCAGTGACTATTCTCGTATTCTATCACATATACTCACCTCCTCTCCTTTTACCTCCCTAAACTTAACTCCTCTTTCCTTACTTAGAGTTCTATTTTTCTGTTCCTATTCTGGGAACCAACTTAAGAGTAGTGACCCACCTTGATCTAAAAGCTACCTTTCTCCAGCATGTTGAAGTTTGGACACTGGACTCTAGCCCAATAAATTTAACCTCAGATAAGGTTTTCTGCTTTGTTAACCTGAATTTATTTCACTCACTTGTATGTATGTTAGGGGTTACCAGATAAAATAGATGTCCAGTAAATATGAATTTCAGATAACAATGAATAAAAAGTTTTAATATACCTCATGTAATATTTGATATATACTTATACTAAAAAATTAGTTTTCTGAAATTAAAATTACCTGAAAATCCTATATCTTTATTTCCTAAATCTTCCAATTCTACCCCTTTCTAAAAAGAAAGTAGTTCTTTCCTTATGTGTGTGTGGTAGGGTCTGGGTAATTATTAGATTTTAGCAGCATTTTTCCCCTGTAACTTTTCTCTTTTTTTAAAAAAAAGTTATGTTATAGGAACATATTTTCATGAAAAATATTTGAGTTGTACTAAACTATACAAAACTAACATAAAAATTCTCTTCTTTCTCTCTTTCCAGAATAAGAATTACCACAAAGAGTTTATGGTAATTTTTTTGTAGGCTGAAATAAATGGCCAAGCAAACATATATTTCTGCTAAAAATGAAAACATTTAATTTTAGCTATGTTTTTAGCCCATAGCTAAATTTATTTTAACTCATTTTCTGAGACTTTGCCTTTTAATAAAAAAATTAAACTATACCATTCATAGTGATACTGTCTTCTATGTTATTATATGTTTATATTAACCATATGTGTTTTTTTGAAAAGTTATTTTCTTTCATTTATTGGGATTGAATCTTCTTGGAGTTTCTCTATCTTCAGAGGTTTGGGAGACATAAAGATATTTTTAATCTTCTGGTGGTTATCTGTTTTTTAAATAAAACATATCTTAAATGCTTTTTATTGCAAAACCCAATTTAATAATTAATTATATCACACTCTCAAATAAAAGTTTAAGCTTATTCTATTCAGTTCTATCTCATTACCCTACAATTGCCCAAGTAGAGGTCATTTAAATTTTAGTTTCAGATTCTTTTATCCCTTACCTGATGAAACCAACAAAAGTATATCAGTTAATAAAAAAATTAGAGATAGGCAATATAAAAAAGGCATATATCTTAAAACACTTCATCTTTAAACTAAAAATATCTAAATAGCCTCTCAATAGCCAAACTTTTGGTATTAGAATAAAGGAAGCATGTGATACAGGATGAAGGGTCTGCTGATTACAACTTTATGTCTCTTTCTGGCATAAACCAGCATATACGTAATCATCACTAATTTCCTGTTTTAGCTACTTTTTTTTTAATTTAAAATTTTTAAAAAATTGTATTTATTTATTTTTTAAAAAGAGTATTTCTCAATTATAGTTGACATACAGTATCATATTAATTTCAGGTATGCAACACAGTGATTAGACAACTATACTACACCTTATGAAATAGTCACCACAATATGCGTAGCATCCATCTGGTACCATACATAGTTCTCACAATATTATTGACTCTATTTCCTATATTGTGCTTTATATTCCATTACCAATTTTATTACTGGCAATATGTGCTTCTTAATCTTTCACCTTTTCCACCCATCCCCCCAGCTCCATTCCCATCTGGCAACAATCAGTTTGTTCTCTGCATCCATGAGTTTGTTTCAGACAATCCAGCTTCTTTAATAAAGAGCACATGCTTGGACTTGAGGAACAACATGAATGGAGAGATGGGTTAGATTGTTATAATTATTGTTCTAATCTTTTACATTTCTTCCACATTTAATTTAGCAGTAAAATTTTTAAATGATTACTCTTTACCAATTATCTTTAATGAATTCAACTTAATTTTTTCATAGCGACAGTTTCTTTTTTGCTCTTTATACTTATTTCCTGAATCTATCTGGAATGTATTTGTTGAGTAAAGAGTGATATACAGCTCCAATTTTAGACATTTCTCCCAACATAATAGAACCTTTCTCAAACATCCCTAATTAATAAGAACATCTTTTAATCTCTGACCTATTACATGTAACACGTAACCAATTTTTATACATGTCTGATCTGTTTCTAGACTTTAAATATTCCATTAATCCATACATCTATTCATGTACCAATACCAAATTGCATCAGTTATTTAATTTTCTAGCATATTTTGACATATAGAAATGAGTGAAAGCCATAAAAAATATATTACCTATTTTTGCACCATTTCTCTTTGAGAAGAATTTTAGAATTAGTGTGCCATTTTTAAAGAGAAAATGTTAATATAGTGTTGACTTGTATTTTATTTGTGAATTTTATTAGAAGAGTTGAAATTTTGAAAATATTGAATTCTCCTTTCACAGAAAAGTATGTTTCTACATGCACTCTAGTTCTCTTTTATGCCCCTGAGTAAAGTGTTAGTTTTCTTCCATGTAGGTCTTACACACATTATGCATTTTGTGAGTTATTTTATACATCCTGTTCTATTATAAATCAAAGATTTTTCTGTGGTATTTATTAGTTGAGTTTATGTGCTGATTTTGCATGTGGAATTCTGCTGTAATCCCTGAAGGTGTGGTGCAATTTGCTTAAAACTATACCTTGCTCATTGTTAGTTTTATACTTCTTAAGCTAATTTTGAAAATTTATCATTCTTTAGAAAATTGTTTTTAATAAAGCTGTCAAGTGAGTGTCCCAAGCCCCTCCTGTTTTAAATATCTTTTGACATTTACCTGGGAACTCTACAATCCCCTTGCTATCATTTTGCCCTTCCCATTCTATTGCCTTTCTTGTTTTACCAGATTTTTCATTAATGTTTTTCCTGTCATTTCATGAGAATTGTGGTGGGCTGGTGGGTAGATTTGCGTTTTTACTCCAATTTATTAACCCAATCCTGAAGATATATAATTATTATTTTAATTATGGGAATGCCAAGTATAACTTTGCATGAAGAGAGATCTCAAAAACTGGAAAGGAAGCACTCACTGTTCTTGTGTACCACTCTCATTTTACAAAGAAGGACTTTGGTTTCAACAAAATAAGACCAGAGATTAGAACATAAATATTTGGAGGAAATATAGCATATTTGAAATTTATTTATAGATTCAAGCATTCCTGCTGTAACGTGATACACGTTTCTTTGTATAAAAGGACTGGGTGAGGTGTTCTGCAAATTGTAGGCTAAAAATAAGAGGTCTCATGGAAAATAGGGTTGGGAGAGACCACTCAAATCAATACAGGTCTCTAACCAGAGGACACACACACACACACACACACACACACCATAATAAAAACACTAGCACAGTTTTAAAAAGACATCTAATTTCAAACATGTAAAGAAATATGATAGTAAATAAAAGATGGCTTTAAAAAATGCCTTCAGCTTAGTGAAAGAGGATGTAAGAAACTTTTGATGCTGCTGAATATAGAGATGAAGGAAAAATGCACAAATATTGTGGAGAATTCTGCAATAAGCTTTTTCAAGACAGAGTTTGAGGCCAAGTTGAGAAACAATGCATGATGGATGAAAGGTCACTGTTCACTGTACAATACTGTCATCCTCAGCATCTTCCTGTGTGCTTTGCATTCAGCCACCATTACC